GGTTTAAGTACAGTTTCAAAATGGCAGCCCAGGGGGCTAAACATAGAACTCTGGCAGCAGCAGGTGGTGTATTGTTTTCTAAAAAGTGGGCATGAGCAACAAGCCTCACCAGTTCTTGTTTTCACACTACCAGACAGACCACATATTTATGTTGTCATACTGTTTCAGAAGGCATTTGCACTTGTGTTTCCTGCACAAAAGTAAACTTACTATGGCCCATTGAAAAAGAAACTTGGATTCAGGTGGATATATACACCTAGCTACCTTGCCCTGAGAGTTAATTTATTTACGAGAAACTCTAGAGAATTTCTTTAGTATATGACTAGCTTCCTATGTATTTATGATAAACACACATATACACAAAAATACACAAAGCAGTATTTTAAAAGTTGCTAAACCTAAATAAAACTATTATTGGAAAATCTTGCATATGTTCTCAAATTATTGATAAAGCAATACTACACATGACAGAGAGGTAAAATCCAGATGGAGGGCATCAGATTTTTCTTTGATTATAACATATTGCCAATATCAATCGTCCTCAGTTCAATAATCTTGATATCAGTCCTCTCAAACTGATCTACAGATTGCACAAAACTTCACTCAAAATTTCATCAGACTTTCTACAAAAATCGATAAGATGATCCTAAAATTTAAGTGGAAATACAAAGAAGCTAAAACATTGAAAACAATTTTGAAAAAGATGAACATGGTTGAGGGACTTATTCTTTCTGATTTCATGACTTACTATAAAGCTACAGTAATTAAGTCAGTATGGTCTTTGCACAAAGACAGACATTTAAATCAGTGGGACAGAATAAACAGTTTAGAAATACACTGTAATATATAGGACCAATTGATTTTCAATTTAAGTGCCAAGGAAATTCAGTGATGAAAGAATGATCTTTTCAATAAATGATGCCAGAACACATGTATATCCACTTGCAAAAAATGAACCTCAGATATTCCCACACATATAAGTTAACTCAAAATGGAAAAAGGATATATATTAGTAAATTTAAGTGGATAATGATTGTTTCAAAGAATAAAATAATATTGTGTTGATTTAAAATATTAGAACAAATAATATAAAGTACAAAAAAGGTAAACACTGCTGAAATATTCTAAGGTTCTATCATTACTGAGGAAGTGGTAAAGTAATAACCAAGGATGTGGGGTATAATTTTTAAGGCAGTCAATAAAAGCTATTAAGATAACTTAAATCTATTAGTTAAATAGATGACAAAATGGAATAATTAAAAATATCTCACAGATTCGAAAGAAGGCAAGAAAAGAAGTAAAATAAAACAAGTGGGTCATACAGTGAAAAATAGATAACAGTCATTGAATTAAATGTACTAAAACTTAAGATAGTCCCACTAGATTAAAACAACAAAAATCTATATTCTGGTTACAAGTGACATATTGTAAATATAAAGATACAGAAAGTTTGAGAATAAAAGAGATGAATATTTATCACTCTCCTCTACCCCTAAGAAATCCCACTAGCTGAAAGAAAGCCTTCAGTAGTTAAATGAATGACAGGCAAAACAGATTTAAGGAAAAAACACTGCTAGTGGTAAAAAAAAGAACATCTGAATGATAACCTACCAGGAAGATACAGTATCAGAAAGATACACTCAGATAATCCACTAGGAAGACACAATGACTCTAAGTCTGTATATATTAATAATACACCTTCAAAATATATACAGCAAAAATTGACAAAAATAAAGAAAAAAGAGACAAATCCACAGCCATAGTAAGAAACATTAAGTAACCATTCTCAATAGCTTTTAGAACAGCAGGTGCAAAAATTAGGGACTATGTAGAATAACTGAACAACACAAGTAACTATTGTGACCAACTGAAACCCAACAATTTTGGAATGTACATTTTTTAGGGTGCTCAAGGATCATTCACGAAAGTACACCATAAGCAAGTACTCCATGCAAGCCTCAATTGCTAAAGATTGAAATTATTCAGATTGTAATGCTTTCTAACCCAGTGAAATCAGATTAGAAGTCAATTTAAAATTATAACAAGAAAAGCATCTGTTATTATTTTGGGGAATTAAATACATTAAAAAGGATTTAATTATAATATTCTCATTCACATTTCACTAAGCTTTCTTTAGTATATAAAGAGGCATGAAGTTACACGAAGTGTTTCCGGGGTTACTAATAAGTAAATTTTAACTATTCCATAGTTTCAAATACAGACATCTCCATGGGAATATTGGCTCAACATACTTATTGAGAATATTCCATGTGTCTGGCACCTTTGAGCTGTTGAAAAGACTAAGTCACTATAATTATTATGTCCACATACACAAAATAATTTGATAGTTTCAGTGTTATAAGGAAAAAACAAACAAACAAAAAAACACCCTGGATATTAGTAAAGATAACTGTGGAAGGGAAGATATGTTACTTCAGATAGATCTGTCAGGGAAAGCCTTCCTCAGGTGATGAGTCCTTGGTTTAAGAAGACCTGGCCATATTATCTGAGTAAACAACGTTCCATGTGGAGGGAGCAACCACATGCAGACCCTAGGCATGTCTAGGGAGGGCATGACCAGGGCAGTGAATAAGGTACAGGAGATTTTAGATAAGGGAGAGCAGCACAAGGCAGAACAAGGTCAAACATGGTCTCGCAGGCCACGATTCTCATTTCAACTTATTCTAAACATTGAGAAGCCGCTGGAGGGATTAGAACAGGAAAAAACAATTTACACTTTTAAATGATCACTCAGAAGATTGGAGGTTTCTGTAATAAAGCATGACAGCCAGTTGGGAACTTACTGCTGTATTCCATGGAGAGATAACAGAAGTCATGTGACATGGCTGGACCTGTGGATATCAGGCCCATGTGCCGTATACCAACATGTGTGGTAGGAAGAAAAACCACTGATAACATTTTGTCTATGAGAAAGCCAACATTCTCTGTGGTTATGAGAACTGAACTTTCCATGTGCTGCTGTTTGAGAGTTTCTATCAGTCTGGTCTACAAAATAGGTTTAATATGAACAAATTAAGTACATATATAACATAAAAGTACTGAAGTATTTCTTGCTTATACATATTTCTTAGGACAGATACAAACCCATAGCCATTTAAAAAGGAGCGATACACAACATAATCAAGTAACCAAAGGCAGGAAAGGCATCTTTAAATAGGAAGCATAACTACTTGTTATTGGCAATTATCAACCACAGCAGGTGAATCCAGAACACAGAATTGCGAGAAAAGTGTGTTTCTTAAACTTTTTAAAAGAATTAATTCAGAAGGTCCAAGCAGCAGTTAACAAGCATAGCAAAACATAGAGGAAGCATGCGTTACAGCAACCTACAGGTTAATAGTCATATCAAAAGAAGTATCGGTATTGAAATTAAAACGCTGTTGGTCTCATACAAGAATGGGGAAAGAAAAAAAAAGAAAGAGAAAATAAAAGCTACTTTTAAAAGGCAGAATCAACAGCTACTAATTTGAGAGCTCTTGTAAGATGGATATTTTAAGAGCTGCTCACATAGAAACAGCCACAAATTCAAAAGAATGAATGAAAAGTTTGATCGTGCTTATTTAATAACTTTAAAACAAATCTCTAATTATTCTGAAAGTTGTATACTTGTACAGTTTCCTCCAAATTTGGACAAGGCCCATGTGTTCATTTCCAAGTGATGAGACAGTTCAGCAGGTAAAAAAATGCCTGCAGTGATGCCTCACCTAGTGAACAGGTGTTTAGAATTGTCTCAGTAACTGTAAACACTATCATGTCAAACTAGAAATTATGTTTTTTACATTTTAACAATGTCTATATTTTAAAAGAAATTGACAATAGAAGAATAAAATAAATGATAGAAGATCATTTATCTGAAGTTCTAAACCTTAAAGACATCCAAGCAACTAAATACTGTTAACAAATTTTTTAAGTTATTTTGTAACTAAAAAAAAAAAAAGATTTTAGAAAAATTAAAGAATGAATTGCTGTATTTATTAAGTGTTATATATAATGATGAAAAATGGGATGCTGGGACATTTATAAACTTAGGATTACATTATATGATTAGAGAGTTAAAATGTGAAACTTGTAATAATCTTTAACATGCCAAACTAGAATATTTACAGTATTTAAATTTGGTTGTATAGTTCCCTAATTAAGGGTATACGATGTCTCAACACTTTAACAATGTAGTCAAATTCCTGTTTATCTTGCTGCCTATACAATTAAAAACAATTCATGCTCACAATTATTTTGAACATTTTTCTAAGTACAGTTTTTTATTTAAAACTTTTCCTTTGTTAATTAGGTTTGTGTTCCTTTCTGGTCATAAAAACACTTTATAATAACAGCATTCAAATATTCCTACAATTTCAATGTCTCAAGAATTATTAATTTTTCCTCTCAATACATTACAGAAGTGTATCCCATATTATATTCACTCTATGTAAAATTAAATCAATTTTTCTTTTTAATAAATTTTAATGACTTAGGTATTTCAGTTTTTACATAATTAAGGTTTAATTCTTAAACTAAGTCAAAACCAAAAATGAACAAAGAAAATTAGATTTTTTCCCCCAAACCAAAATCAAATAAATTTCAAGCAGATTTCTTCATTCCTTTATGTATTTAGCATTACATGGGGCAATCAAAATCTCTTCTTTAAAGAAATACTTTCCACAAAAAAAGCAGAGAGCAAATGTATAATTATGTAGCTTAGAGTGAAACCTAGGCAAACCTATGGACAAAAAAATATGTTAGGATACATTAATTTAAATTATTTTTCAAGAGTTAACATTATAAATTTAACTACCCCATGAAAAATAAACAAACTGTTTTTCATTACTTGAGTTCTCTGATCTTTCAGCCAAGCATGTATTGGTTTTTAAAAGGCCAGATTTGGAGAAACTATATTTTCAAATACATACAGTATTGCGTGCTGCCTGAATTAGGAAAGTATCCAGCACAGTAGGGTGGAAATACTATACCTCAGTTCCTACCTGGGTGAAGAAGGGCTCATAAATCTCAACTCCTTTATCAGATCCTTGCAGTAACACCTCCTGGCCACGTCTCCAGCTGTACCGAACAGGTGGATTGGAATTGGCAACACACCGGAGGAACACTGTTCTCTCATAGTAAAATTGTTCTTTAGCTTCACCTATACTTTGATGAACAGTTACTACTGGGTCATCCAAATCTAGAAGAAAAAATAAAAACAATGTCATGAGCTACATGGCTTTTAAAGTACTGTACATACAAAATCTAACCAAAGATGAATTTTCCCAATAGATTATATATTGCTTATCACTAGGCTCATTTTTTCACTGAGTTAATTGAACTCATTTGCAGAGAAATTTCCAATGATAGAAGGTAAAGACAAATAATAGTTATTTCTTAAGATCTCTATTTGCTGAAACAGTCCAAACGACTATATATATTTCCAACACTTTGTCAACAGCCACATAAAACAGCTCCATGAGAAAAATTAGAAAATTTAAGATGTTACCCAAAACTATGAAGCATAGTCACAGAGAAAAAAAATATCAAGCAGTTCAACTGACTCTTAACCTTAATATACTTCTTTTCTCAATTATTTATAACACATATTAAAAACAAGCAAAAAATTTATGTCTATGAACTGTTATAATCTTTATAGTAAGAGAATATTATCTTATAATGGGTTAAATTTTTCCTTCATCTCAGATTTTATATCCCAGATCATGTTGCTAATGTAAAATGTATTAACAGAAGGTATTATTAAAAGGTATTAATATTTTTATTAGTGAATACTGGAACTAAAATTTTGCTTCCTAAAAAAGACATATATACCAAGGGTTTAACAAACATTTTCTGGAAAGAAACAACTCATAAATATGCTGGGCTTTGTGGTTCACACAGTCTTTATCCTAACTAGTCAACTCTACCATTGTAGTGTGAAAGACAGGTAAATGAATGAAAGATGAATGTTGCTGAGTTCCAATAAGATTTTATTTACAAATACAGGTGCCTCAGCTAGATTTGGCTCATGGGCCATAGTCTGCCATAGATTGCCAATTCTTGATATATCATATCCCAGGGTTTTTTTTAAGATAAAAATAAATTAAGAAGTGTGTTTGCTTTAAAAAAAAAACTGTAGTGTATATTGAAAACTTTCTAAGAGAGTAAATCTTAAAAGTTCGTATTACAAGGAAAAATGTGTAGCTTTGTATGGTGACAAATGATAGAGTTACCGTGGTGATCATTCTGCAGTGTATACAAATATTGAACTGCTATGTTGAATACCTGAAACTAATATAATATTCTATGTCAGTTACACCTCAATTTAAAAAAACAAATACAAACAAAATTTTTAAAAGGACATGTTCAAATAATAAAAAGGCAACAAAAGTAGTGAAATAACAGCTTCCCTAAGGAATCAAAGTAAAGAAGAGAACACCAGATTTCTTCAGTTTTTAAAAAAATCTTTTTTTCAAACGTGAATTACTTGACAGCCCTACTTAGATTTCCAGTTTTGCAACATTCAGGGGTTTTTTCCCCAACATCAGAATATTTTCACAGCTACCTCAAAGGCCTCTAATTTTAGCAGTGAAAACTTACAGAACAACTGTTGCCTTTTCGGTAAAGTTTCAGTAACTTTCAGTTTAAATTTACCCTATTAACTGTGCAGGGATATATGTCAGGTTTGTTGGAGAAGTTAGGGATACCAGCATTATTATCATGAAATGTTCAAAGGCCTTTAAAATCCATCGAATAGTCTCTTATTTGATGATTAGGCTTTTACATACAAATCCAATCCTACAGAAAATGGATTAGCTGGATTGAGTCTTGGTGACTTGAAAAAAAGGTACTCTGAGTCAGTTGTAAACAACTTATTTTTTTCTTGTTCAAAACATAGTTTCTTTTAGTCATGGTCTCCTTTTTAGAAAATATGAGCTGTGTTCTATTGTAAAAACAAAATTCCGAAGTGAGAAAGTTTAGAAACAAAACAGAATTGGATGGGAAACAGTGTAACAATGGTGACTCTCTTTGAGTTCCAAATAGTTGATAGTATTGCACTTTTCAACATCCATCTATTGATGTATCCCTAGCACTTTTCACGTTAGGTGATGGTGTTGATAGGTGCAGTCAGGAATAGACGAAACCCAAATAATCACTTAAACATGCTCTTCCTTGACCCAGATGAGGTTCAGGTCACTGGCCTCTGAGGCTCTTAATCCTGTGACAATGGTTTACTGAACATTGTATTGGCAGAATTATCTGTTAGATTCACTCACGTTTAGGAATTTCTATTTCATAAAGCTTCCATATGATTTACTTTTTACATTTAAAAACAAGCAAGGCATAAATGGTTACCTTTCTATACAGTATAAAACATTTCTGTTATTTTTATTACTCTTTTAAAAGATTAAAAACACATTTAAAAGTGAAACAAAGAAACAAAAAACCAAACATGCCAAAAACAAGATGTCTTTTAGATAAGTCAAATAATGGCATACTTTCAGTGAAATTACATGCTTGTGTGTGTGTGTGTGTGTGTGTGTGTGTAGACATACATATATACATACATAATATATAGTTTAAATGATATATAAACATATACCACTTAAAAGATATGTTTAAAATATACACTATCTATTACTGAATACATACTGAATATGTCTTTACTTTATGTCAGGGTTCTTAGAAAAGAGACTAAGACAGAGGAATGTGTGCATGAAGTGTATTCAACACTTTTTGGGGAGTGAAGGAAATAGGATTGTGAAGGGGAGTCCATCTACAGCACATTTGCAGCAAAGATCTCCTCAGTAGCTCCAGACACGTTTTGGAGCCCTTACATCCCCTCAGAACTGTACTGTCTTAACGCAAGGAAACAAGGAAGCTAAACCCTTATACTCCAACCCTCTTCGGCAGACATCAACCAGTTCTTACAAACGTGCTGCTCCCCACCAGGGAAAGCAACCTTGGGAGGGGCAGCTTTGTTTGGTTTAGGGCAATTTCTAGAGAAGGATTTAGCTGAGAGGCATCAGTTCCTCCAACTCTCAACAGCTGGAAGAATGAGTGCTTCAGTCCCAAGAGAGGGATCTGTGGGTGCACTATGCATCCACCCACATCCACCTGCTAGGTATGAAAACTTGCTCTATCTAGGAAGAGCTATTTCAGGATTCCAGTTAGTCATCTTTCCTGGGAAATCTTTCAGAAGAAACTGTGGCAGGATGATAGTCATCATCTCTTCTACTGTTACCATTCTAGATTGCTCTCATCCTGGGCTAGGACATCTTTTGGTGTAAGTCACTTATCTAGTGAGGTTATCAGACCTTTGTCACTGAGGATTTTGAGCCCCTTGGTAACCATGCTCTTCTCAAGCTATTACTGATACAGTTGTCTGTTTACCACCAAAACTGAACAGAATAGCAAGAAATGCCTCAGCGCATCAACTGAGTATCAAATATATTCTAACTGCCTCATTGCGCAACAACAGTCCTACCTCGAAGCTGACCATATGGGCCCACCAGGATGGTGACTCCTCTCATCTGTTGTTTCCTGACACAGGAAGCCTGAAGTAACATAAAGCAGCCAAGGCTTGGAGATTAAGGGGACTCCTGCTGTGTCACTTAATAAAGGCTTTTTCCCTTTCTGAGAACTAAGACTTCTAAACTGGCAGAGCCCAGAGCTGTGGGAAGGGAAGCATGGATTCCCCAACTGGGTCACTGAACATGGTGGTAGTAAGCAGGGTCTCTGCTTGATTCTTGAACCAATGTATTTAAAAAAAAAAAAGTGCATCATATCATACAATAATGGTCATTGATTTAGGATGTATACTGCATCTTGGAAGATGGCAGCCCCTCCCTACTGGATGTCGTCTCTCCAAAACTCAGCTGCCCCCTCCAAAGGCCATTCTATCACTTTAGTAAATTAATTTTTTTAGGTGGTATAAAAAATGATATAACTAGAGAATCCCATATCAATGTTCTCACTGCCGCATCTTCACTGCTGTAAAATGTGCTTTTGGTCCCATGAGTGGTTAGGTAGGATCCTGTATTAAAATAAAACATTCTAAAAGCCTTTGAATATGCTACCGCTGGCTGAGGTCAGCAGAAAAAAAATCTATCCCCAGAATACATGTCAGATTCAATCAAAACAACACACTGTCACTTTCAGGGTTAAAAAAAGAAGTCTAATATAATCAACTTGCTACTAAGAGACGGGTTGGCATTCTTGAAGGATAATGGTGTACCAAGAGGCCAGTGTTGGTGTCTGTTGCTGCTAAGTTAGATATTCAGTAGTGGCAGCAGACAGGACAGCCTTTATGAATGATACCCCACGTTTCAAGCTTATGCATGGCCACCATCCCTACCATTATTGCTGTTCTTTTCGCGAGGCTGTTGTAGCAGCTATGGGTGGCCAATGACAGAAGCTGGCTGATATCAGCTATCTGCCTTACTCTGTCTACTTCATTGTTTTGTGCTTGTTCTGTGGTAGATACTTTTTGATGCTCATTAACATGCAATACAAATATTATCACACTTCCTGTCCCTCCCATAGGTCCATCCAAATACTTAAACAAATCTCCCCTTACCACACAAAGTGGTTGATCAGGTAAACCCCCCACCCCCCAAATCAAAGTTGGGTTCATTAGGAAGATTTCTCCTTACTCCCCTCTATCAAAGACATCATCGCAGAGTGGGATTCTAGGGAGGTGGTAGTCCAGTTTGGGGCTTTTTCACGTGGACTGAGCTGACTCGTCATCAAAGAAGCTTAGCCTTTTTCCTCTACCATCAGCTCATAAGAAACCCTCCACGGGGCTAGGTATGAGCTCCGAGAAAAGCACTAGTCAAACATTGACAGATGCACTTGCTTGTGTGGCTTACTTCAGCCCTCTGGCCCTGGCCATGCCTCATTTTAGATGTACCACCTCCATCTTATGATGGATGACTGACAGGGCTGCCCTATTTTATGCCTGAGTATTGGCAGATATTACAAAACTCAATGCATGACTGACACTTCAGGCCTCATAGTCTGAAAATTACCTCAGGTTCAGCGATTGGGCAAGGAGTCCTGACTTTTTATTCTATGACCACATTCAGCCTCCCGATTATCCATCTGGTTCCTCTAATTGTGTAGATGAGGCAATACCCTTGTTGCCTGTCCACTTATTTTGCCCCAAGGGATATTGAGCTCTAGTAACTATCCCCACGG